CCCCAAAACCCCAAAACCCCAAAACCCCTTATTTGTGTAAATGATTTGATAGATAATATAATTAAGAATGGGAAATAATGCAAACACTCTTTATGAGAACATCGTTGATGATGTCTTTCAAGATGAATCCTCTCCAATTTCAGAAGAAGAGTCAAGCATGATATCTGGTCTATCTTTAAAGCTAAATTTAGCTGAAGATAATGATCAGAATAAGAATGAAGTAAATACTTGCAGCTTTTGATGCAAAGTAGGATATTTACTATCAGTTGAATTGAAGAAGAAAGTTCTTAAAATGAAATAAGTGAGTACTCTTCATTTCTATTTTTGTTTCAGTATCTCTTTACTAATCATTATCTTTGGTTTAGAGAAATTGATCAAATTCAACTGAACAATGGACCGAATTTTATTTATAGTTTAAGTGACTCTGTTCAAAATGTCTTATGAAGTGTAGGTAAGCGATCACTTAAAACTATTTTATTAACTTGTTTCAAACTTTTGGTGACAAAGCTCATCAATTGTCTAGAAAACATTTTAGACATGTATTCTGCAGAAAGCAAAGAGCCATTTCAATGAAAGGATTTTACTAGCATAAATAAATTATAAGCACATTGATAACAAAAGTAAGAGGATACTTAATTAATAGGTTCCAACTATATCAAAGACAGACAAGAATCTTAAGCATTTAGAAAGTACTTTTGGGTTCATATTAATAGGCATGGATATTATTCCAATTCAGACTGAGAGAACTCTTCAAAATATAATCCAACTTCTTGGAAATATCTCTAATCTAGTAAGGTTACTTGGTCAATAAAAGGTTGAGAATAATGGAAATTAAAACAACTGAATTGTTATATAAAGCTGATGAGAGGACCTTCGCCACTGGGAAGACAGGTAAATACTAATTAAATCGGATATAGTTAAAATATACTTTACAGTTATGGATAAAGACACAAGAATTACCTCTTTTGATGTGCTAAACAATGCAAACACCTTTCAAAAGCCTTGTTCTCTAATAGAAAAGCAAGGTTATGTTTACTTTTTCTTAATCAATAAGATGCTCAAAAAGTAAATCATCTGTTTTATTCTACTAGAATACAAGCATCTGAACTAGAATATTCAGAAAGCAAACATTGAGGACATGAATTCAGATTTCATTTGAATTGCAAATATCCTCAGATAAGAGATATAAGATCTTCCCAATCAGAGAATGCTAATTCATTCACCAAAAGTTTGGATTTTGATAACTTTAGACTTGAACGAAAGCATTAGTTTTGTAATAGATAACAAGAAGAAAGCTATGAATGTATATAACAGCTGTGATATATCAAAGCTCAATCCTATCAATACTCCTGGAATGCATCACAGAACTGTGTCTCTTAAACATTCTATTAAAAAGTAAGTCCGAACTTATTTGATCTCTCAAGATCATTATTTGTTTTAAAACTTATGTAGACATGCAATATTTCATGAAAATGTAAGAAAATCGAAAGTAGGAAGATTAAGTGTTCAAGATATTCAGACCATAAAGGCTCCTCATACTCTTATTTAAGCACTCACTTATAATTCCTGAGGATAGGAAGTCTAGTCAAAGCACAACCTTGGGACAATACAAAGAAGGTATTTATTTGAGAAGTCTTTACCATTGATATCTTTGAATATTTATTTTAAAGTTGTATTTAAGAGAAAATACTACAAAGATACCAAACGATTTCCATTTTAGCCAATGATATCTGAGCAAAGACAACAAAGAGTAGTTTTGCATTGACAGCTAAGGTAGTCCTTGATACGTTTATTTATAGAAGAAAAGGACCAAGCACAGAAGATTTTATAATAGTGTTATCGATAGAAAAATAGTCCCTCAAAAGCCAGGAAAGGGGCTCATAGCTAGCCCATCTCAGCTTATCAATTTAAATCCTGAAGCCAGAGTCTGTGGGTGTGCAAGAGTATTTGTAGTCATTCATTGTATAGCTTCTAGCTGTGGCTGAGGATTTTTATGATAGAACTTACATTGAAGGATTAATGGATTTATACAGAATAAAAACTGAATTCGTGAACAAACTAGAGACAGCGATTGATACTCTTTTTGAGTTCCCAAAAACTCATTTCTGATGACCGGGATATCAATACTTATTCATATTCTACAATGGACAAGGTACTCTAGTTTTAAACCAATAGATCTGAAATATTTTTACTCAATAAAACAACTCAAGCAGCAAGGGAAAATTGATGAACTTGTCAAAGTAGTTGTCTTTACTAATTATGACAATATGCATGAATTGGTGGAAGATGATTTTGGGATCCAGCTTATGTTAAAACCAGCAAAATCAAAGGATATAAAGCAGATTTTATCTAGTTAAAATATAGTGTCAATATCTGTTTGTGATCCTGGGGTTTTGGGGTTTTGGGGTTTTGGGGTTTTGGGG